AGCTGAAACTGGGAGAAAGCATGTCTACTCATTTGCAGTCCATGAGAAAGACATTCCTAGAATTAGAAGAAAGAGGAATGACTTTTACTGAGGCACATATGTGGTGCTCAGTTCATTGGATAATTCATGGGACATCATAGTGACCAGTTTAGAGTCCATGCAAGAGAGGGACTTAACCATGAGTTATTTGACTGGCCAGTTGCTGGAGGAGAAACAAAAACGGCTGGAAAGGCAGCAGAGAGGGGGTGACAACGCACAAACCAGGCCTACAACTGCAACATCCAAAGATGCCAGTAAAGCAGCTGAGAACGTTTGTATGGTGAAACGCTACTTCACGTATGGTTCTACAGAACATCTCCAGAGACGCTGCCCTGAGAGGAAAACAGAGGAGCAATGAAACATGATCGTAGAACTACACAACCAACATTTTCTCTGGCTTTTGGACATGGGGCGAGTCAGCATATTGCAAATGACCCACAAATGTTTTCAAAACTAAGACCAGCTAAGCAAACATTTGTTAGTTTGGCTAATGGACAACAGTCTGCTGTTAAAGGGGAAGGTAAAGTGTATGTACCTGGTATTGGAGAAACATTGGATAATGTATTATATGTACCAGAGTTAGACCATAATTTACTCAGTATTTTGAGCTTGGATAATATGGGGTATGAAGTATTGTTTGCAAAGGGTCAATACACCATCAGGAAAGATGGGAGGATTTGTGCACAAGGTGTTAAGCTGGGTAATTTATACATGTTAGAAAAGAAGCAGGATGGTTGTGCATGAACACTTACAAACACTTTCACGTATGATAATTGCGTACATTTATTACACAGGAGGTTAGGTCATGCAAGTTTTAGAGTGCTGCAAAGGATGCCAGACCTAGCTGAGGGATTAAAATTAAGCAATGCAACACATATTTAAATTGCGCTATTTGTAAGGAGTCAAAGTCCAGAGTGTATCCTGTAAGTAAGAAAAGCTCAAGGCAAACAGAGTTTTGAAGTTAGTGCACACTGATTTAATTGGTCCTATGGTGCCCTCTCTAGGAGGAGTTAGGTATGTACTAGTCTTAGTAGATGACTACACCAGGTATGGGTTTTGTTATTTATTACAGAGCAAAACAGAAGTTCTTCAACAGTTCAGGCAATGGGTGAACTTTGTAGAGCAAAGATATGGCCATAAAGTATGCCAGCTGCAAACAGACAGGGGAACAGAGTTCATGTCTGACAACTTCCAAAAGTGGCCGAGGAACTTAGGCATAAGGCATAGACGTACGAATCCATATTCACCAGCAGAAAATGGTGTGGCTGAACGGAGGAATGGCGTGTTGCAAACCATGAAAGACTTACTGCTGGCAGATGCAGGGATGAGTAAAACAGGAATGAGTAAAACATACTGGGGGGAAGCCATGAAAACAGCCAACTATCTAGTAAACCGGGTATGGAGTGTTGCTATCAATGAAACTACATATTACCTGTTATATGGAAGGAAACCTTCATTGGCTCGCCTAAGGACATTTGGCAGTTATGCCTGGGTGCATATTCCCAAAAGACCAGAAGGAAAAGACAGAAAAAGGCCAGGAAACTTAGGTTTGTTGGATATGAGCCAGGTTCCAAAGAGTATAGATTCACAGATGGAACAAAGAAGGTTGTGATTTCAAGGTCTGCTAGTTTTGCAGAACAAAATAATTGGGACAGGGTGCATGCTAACACCGAAGTGTTCATGCCAACGCGTAGCGCTAGTTCTCAGGAAGGAGAGGCTACACAAAGCCCAATGAAGGAAGAACAGAATAGCAGGTCAGAAATAGTAGGAATAAAAAAGGATAGACCTGAGGTAAAGAGAGAAGTAACAGAAACATAGGAACAGATGATACTGTAGCAATAAAGCCGTACCTCCTGATCGGTTCTCAGCAAGTGGGGTTAGAGTGTATAGTGTAAGGTATGATCCCCAAAATTACCAAGAGATATTATCATTGCCTAAAGTAGAACAGGATAAATGGAAGGAGGCTATAGACAGAGAAATGGAGTCTATGAATGTGCATCAGGTGTTTACCTTTATGAGATTAACAGAAGGATAAAAGGCCATGGGGTTTAAATGGGTATATAAAAAAGTTTTACACAATAATGAACTGCAGTATAACGCTGCAAATACTGTATATTCTTGCTTTAACAATATGCAGAACTGTCTGGTATTTTTGTAGTTAAATCAGGTAACAGTGAAAGGGGAGGAGAATATAAGGAAAGCCCGGGAAAAAGGAACCGGAAGTGAATCATATCTTCCAATTAACTTGGAAGATGTGAATCATGACCCCAAAATAGGGGAGGGAAAAATGCTTGGAATGTATGTGCAACAGAAGAGAAAATCAGATCTTAGCATTCCACCATGCCGTACTGACATCTCTGTATCCTTAATAAAGGCTTTTAGGTTAAAAAAATGCATGAAAGTTCTTTAAAGTGTTTCGTTAATCAGACACATGACATCATGCTAAGATCTGATTTTCTCTTCCGTTGCACATACATTCCAAGCATTTTTCCCTCCCCTATTTTGGGGTCATGATTCACATCTTCCAAGTTAATTGGAAGATGTGATTCACTTCCGGTTCCTTTTTCCCGGGCTTTCCTTATATTCTCCTCTCCTTTCACTATTGCCTGATTTAACTATAAAAATTCCAGACAGTTCTGCATATTGTCAAAGCAAGAATATACAGTATTTGCAGTGTTGACACATGGTAATATAATGCAAGGATTTATAGAGAAGGAATGTTCATATGTTGACTAAGCCTTTAAATGCAGGCAATCATCAAGAATGTGTAAAAGCATTTGGGTTAACAGCTGTTTAGCTTTAAATGGGAGGAGTGTCAAGGTTATGATTTAGAACACAGGTGTCAAACTTGCGACGTCACGTGACGTGTCATGACATATCACAACTTTTTTCCCATTGCTGGCAATGGGGTGGGCGTGGTTTTAACGTGACGCATCCGGCCCATGGGCCGGCAGTTTGACACCCCTGATTTAGAAGCTAACCAGCTGATATAATGTAAGATGTAATGTTGGGAATGACTCAGCAGAGTCTATGTCCCTTTAAAAGCCAGCTGGGTCTGTGTCTCTTTAAGAGCCTTTGTATAAAGGAAGGCTCTGCAGATGTGTGCTCTCTCTTCCGTTTCCTGCTATAACTGTGGTGTGTTGGATCCTGCTGTATTAGCACGTGTATGTATATTGTTCCTGGTGTATGATAGTGTAGATAGTGTAAGATAAAGCACCATTTATATAGATCACTGTTTACTGTTTACTACTGGGTTAACTTGCACAATAAGACTGCACACTCTGACATAGTATTATGCACATTATTCAAATTAAGTGCAGAATATTTAGTTTCTCAAATAAATCATTGCTCAACTGCTTTAGAAAAAGGGTGGGGACAAATTTATTTAATTTATTGGCTACCCATCTTACTACAGGATAACTGTGGGTGGCAACCTTTTGTCCATGCATTTTCACTTATATATGTTTTTGAGTGAAATCCACAGATAATTCCTGAGTATAATTTGCAATATTGTGGAGAGTTAAAAATAAACGTTAATAGCAATGAAACGAGAATGATTGGAAGAAGATCCAGAACTTGTTGGGCTAAACTGAATTCCATGAATTCTTGCTGGGATGGAATACCTCTGAGACCAACAAGGGGATGGATGGATGGATAGATAAACCTTTTGTCATTTTTTACCGTGGGCACAATGGCACACATTGAAAATGAAATTTAATTGCTTGTTCTCAAAGTGTACACATACATAACACACATTTAAACATACTATATACAACATATGTATAGACCTACAACCTTACATATAGGTAACATAAATATTAATCACTGTCCATCTTGAATACATAACGGAAGGAGGAAGCTTTGGAGTTCACAAGGTTAATATACATACCTTGTTTTGGCACTGACTTAGACCTAACAAGACGAAGCCTATGGTGTTCATTTGGGATAGGAACGTAAAGTAAGGTGGTTTTCAACGTAAAATAACCCACCCTGTAGAAGGTTGGAAAGATCGTCGAAAAGCGCTGAGGTGCAGGAAAAGTTTTCTGCAGAAGGCGGAATTTATCAGGGTGCACGAGCGGCGGCCCTTCACGTCCACTCCCTCCATCCAGCGCTCATGCTCGGCGCTTGCACCGGCTCTCCTGCCCTTCGGAGAGCATGCCGCTTGGGCTTACAAAGGTAGAAAAGTGCACAGGTAGAAAAAGGTAGTTCACTTCTTGGTTCAATTTGCTTTCTTTTTCCCCAGCCGGGCAAAAGCAAGAAAATGGGGGGGGGGGAGAGAATGCTTATCGAAACGAAACATTTTTCTGATCTGAGAGTGGTTCAGCCAGTCTTTTCTTGCCCCAAAAACTGCCAAGTAAGGAGTGGCGATTTGGGATTTATAAAAAGTGGAAAAGACTGGACAGTTATTGAGGACTATCTGAGGCGCTGTCTTTATTAATCAAAGGGTGGAGGAAATATTTACTGGGCTGCGTTGCCGCTCAGTTTCATTTAGTCATAATTAAGGCTACAAAAGATCCAGATAACCCAGTGTTTCTCAACCTTGACAATTTTAAGGCATGTGGACTTCAACTCCCAGAATTCCACAGCCAGCAATGCTGGCTGTGGAATTCTGGGAGTTGAAGTCCACATGCCTTAAAATTGTCAAGGTTGAGAAACACTGAAATAACCTCAGCAACTTCAACTCCCAGAATTCCCCAGCCACCAGATCTTCTGGAAGGCTTTCCAGCAATCCAACCGCACCCATATATTTATTATTTTCCATACTAATAGTATTAACATTAAAACTTAAGATTAATATTAGTATTCATAATAGCATTTATAGGCGTTTATGCCTGGCGCAGTGCAAGTCTGATTTTTTGGGGTTAGGTTTTGTCTTTCGCTGCTTGCCCCAAGAAGTCCCGTTCCTTTAAAGGCAGAGGCGGGGCTTCCTACCCGGAAGGGACGACGTAAATCCTCCCTTCACCTCCACGTCCGCTCGGGAATACCGGCGAAGGCGGGCTCCCGTCGGAAGTTGGCTTCCTTTTACTTCCTCCTTCCGGTTGGCGGGTGAGTGAACCCTCGAGCCGAGATCTGGGGGGCGGAGGAGGATGGGCAGCCGTCCCGCATCGGGGGGGAGGAAGGGAAGGAGGGAAGGTGGCCGCGCGCGCTACGTCGGGCCGGGGCCTCGCCGTCGTGCACGCGCCAGACGCACCCGCGCTCCAGCTCGGCTCTTTCCTCGCCTGGGCGGTCCCGGTGATCCGGACCCTTTCCTCGGCTTGCTGTCCAAGCGTGGGGTGGGGGGCTGAGCTTCTTAAGAGTCGCAGGCACCTTTCTTACGGTTGCCAATGTTTTGTTGTCGCATCCCACTCCCTTGCAGAAATTCAACAGGTGAAGTCTTCCGCACGCAGGCGCAGTAGATCCGAAGCAGAAGTCAGTGGGGCAAATGTCCCGTAATTCCCAGCCCTCTCCGCTTTGGGCCAGTCTTTCTTAGCCCCGCCCAACTCACGTGTTTGTGTGTGTGTGTGTGTTTATGGGGGAAATAGGAGGCAGGAGTATTAGGTGTGTTCCTCGCCTAGATGGATGGATATAATAAAATACAGGTTTGTCATTGCGTCTTTCCTGAGGCTTCGTGTTAGGAACTGATGGTCTTACAGCTGTATTCATGTCGCTGCTTGCAAATCGTTCTAAACTCCAGTAATAAGTCAGTTGAATCTAAGAGTACTTCGAGAACCAGCCTTTCCATCACCCAAAACAGTGTTTCTCAACCTTGACAATTTTAAGGCATGTGGACTTCAACTCCCAGAATTCCACAGCCAGCATTGCTGGCTGTGGAATTCTGGGAGTTGAAGTCCACATGCCTTAAAATTGTCAAGGTTGAGAAACACTGACCCAAAACATCTGATTTCAAAATTAAAAGAAAGCAGGGAATGACAGTTGTTCATGTAGTTCACTAGACACTATAAGCAGGGAGGCTAAGGCAGTGTTTTTTCAACCTTGGCAACTTTTTAGATAAATGGGTGGACTCCAACTGGCACAATGGATGCTTATTAGAAATAATTCCCACTGCAATCCATGGGACTGTTCAAGTGTATGCAATATTGACCGCAGCCTTTTTGTGGGGGGGCTTAAAGTCTGTCTTGAGTCTTGGCAACATTTTGCATGCAGTTTGATGTACCATAAACAAGTCTTCCCATTTGGTTCAACTCACTGCCTTGATGAAGACTTGCTTATGCAAAAATCTATTTAGAACTAGCTGTACCCGGCCACGCGTTGCTGTGGCTCAGTCTGGTTAAGCTGTTTTTCAAAAAAAGCATGTTTTTTACCTGTCACAGGTGTGACATCTATATAATAGTAGGTATATAAAAACACGTGCGTATTCGAATGCAACGTTGTGTCAAAATTTCAAAGCAATCGGTAAAGAACTTTCGGAAATTTAAGATTTTGAACAAACAAACATTTACATTTTTATTTATATAGATTGCATTTTAAATGTTTTCCTCAAAAAAGTAAAAAGAGAACAAGTTGCTATAGTTTTTTTGTGCTAAATTATCATTTTATTAAGAAAATATGGAAATTTGCCTGAAGGGAAAATGTTTATTTTCCTGTTTCACTGGATCTATTTTTTCTTTTCAATTTCCTTAAGTTTAATACCGGTAGATGGAACACTTATGGAAGTTGCCATTTTTGTGAACAGTTTAGCAAATTACTATACTTACTAATCAGTTCCATATTTTTAAGTAGCACTTAAAATATTTTAAAATTTATCTGAAACTTAGCAACTGAACCTTTGATATTTTGATATATATAGTCCTTGACTTACAACAGTTCATTTAGTGACCATTCAAAGTTATGGCATTGAAAAAAGTGACTTATGACCCTTTTTCACACTTAAGATTGTTGTAGCATCTCCACGGTCACATGATAAAAATTCAAATGCTTGGCAACTAGTATTTATGATGATTGCAATGTCCTAGATCGGGGGTAGGCAACATTGGCTCTTTTATGACTCGTGGATTTCAACTCCCAGAATTCCTGAGCTGGGAGTTGAAGTCCACGAGTCATAAAAGAACCAAGATTGCCTACCGGTCCTAGATCATGTGATCATCTTCTGAAACCTGACAAAGTCAAATGGGAGGCCAGATTCACTTGACAACAATGTTGCTAATTTAACAACTGCAGTGATACATTTAACAACTGTGGCAAGAAAGGTTTTAAAATGGGACAAAACTCACTTTACAACTGTCTCGCTTAGCAACAGAAATTTTGTGCTCAATTATCATACATTGTCTATCTGTACAGTATAGAGTATTATTTAATACCACAATTTGAACTGTTTTGTATTACTGTACAACTTCTACAATCAGAAGCTACTTTAAATTTCCCAATGTTTTTTCTTATAGTTTTTTATGACAACAATATCCAGTTTTGCCGTGTTGCTACACTGGAGTTTCTTGACCTCTTGGGTAAGTTGTGACATCTTTTATGTTGCTGGAGGAATTCTAAATATATTTCTAATTGTAATATACAGGGTTCTTGTTATTCTAATAGTGTTGGTTATTTGATTGTTATTTGTATAAGAAGGGGAGACTCAGGTACCTTGGTTCATATATTAAACAAATGACCCATTGGGAACCCCATATTAAAATAACATACCTTACAGGCAGGCAGACTCTGAAAACAACATTTAACACGGCATAGTACTTGAGTAAAATGTTCGGCTGAGATCGGCATATGTGGGACTGATTTGAGGTAGATTGCAGGGGTGATACTGAAATTATTTTACTTCAATTTCATTTTAAATTGTTTTTATAAGATTTTATTAATAATTTGGGTTTGGAACTCTGTATTTTGATATGGCCTATGGGCTAATCAATAAACTAAACTAAGCTAGTAGTCTCAGGCGCAAAGGATCAGGACCATACATTAAGTTGCAGTTCAGAAGAGAGGTCTCTCACCTTTCTGGGCTCACGGCCTGGAGGGAAGGAGAGCAGCTTCCAAATTGGTGCACATGCACGCAAACGGGGCCATCCGCACTGGTGTGGCACTAGCGGCCCCACTCATGTGTCCAGCGTGGGCTGATGCAATGCGCATACGGCTGTGCACCCCCCACAGCGGCTAGTGGCCCTGTTTGCGCATGTACAAGTGGGCCACGCACATCCGCCCAGCGCTAGCTGCCCCTTTTGCGCCTGCATGCATCATGTACAAACGGGGCTGTAGGCACTAGTGTGAGTAGAGGGGAATGCCACGGCCCAGAGGTTGGGGACCTCTGGTTTAGAAGATTTATTGCTGAAGTCTATATAAACAGTTCTAATCAACTAACAGTCAATACAAAATTGGCGCTAGACAAGAGTTAATGGCATTTGGGGAGGGGGTTGAACTTGGATCACTTATGGCAAATAATAAGTCCAGACTGATCACTTTCTTAATTCCACCCGGCTCTGCCTCTTCTTTTACATCTAAAAGGATTTGAAAATGGTGGTAATAGTCATGCTAGTTGAAGAGGTATCTGATTTAGCAATATCTTTCTGTCTAAGATGAAGACAGAATGGCGGTGAAATGTCTGGAATCATCTCAACCCCAATTTATGATGTGGTTCCATCCTCTTTAAGACCATTTAAAAAATTGAGGTTTTTGGCCATCAAAGGTTTCTTAAAAACTTGTGGGGTTTTTGGTTATACCTATATTGTAAAAGTCTTTGTTTTGCAGGAGATTCTGTTCTTTTATTGTAATATGAAGTTTTTGTTTGTTTGTACTGAAGTAGCTTTTCTCACCATTTTGAATCAATGTGTTGCTTAATATAGTGTAATGTGGTACTGCTTTGCAGAGCTGCCTTGATTTAAAACACAATTGCTGGAACGAAGTGACACTCAATATTTTGCCTGGTCATTTTGCTTTAGTGGAAATATCTTTTGCACAGAAGTGCCTACAGGTAGAATGCTGAATTCCACTGAAGTGGTGCTTTGAAGACGCAACTGAAACAAAGTGCTCTTTAAAGGCTCCATACAATATGAATCTATTGATTTGATTGATTAATTTGATTGACATCTTCTAAAGCAGGGGTCTTCAAACTTGGCCCTTTTATGATTCATGGACTTCATCTCCCAGAATTCCTCAGCCAGCGTGCCTGGCTGAGGAATTCTGGGGGTTGAAGTCCATGAGTCATAAAAGGGCCGAGTTTGAAGACCCCTGTTCTAAAGAGACAGCAATCCTACATTTTGGAGTGCTATGACATTAGAACCATTGACAAGGCAAAAGATCTACTGCAAAATGGAGGGAAGAGCAATTTTTGTGCTTTTAAAAAAATATTGTCTTATACCCTTTTTCTGTTCCAAATGAGTGTGTTCTGTCCCAGTGAAATCAAGACAGTTTGCAGAGTTAGCAAAGGTTAGAAACTGATTTGGGAAGATATCAGGGAAACTTTGGATTCCCACTGATCTATTATTTTCCGACCTGGGTATAGCATTATTGATCAAGGCTGAAGAATTCACAGCATGTATGTTTGGAACTCGCTGCTTATCCCTGCAGAAAAGACATATCCCTGCAGTAGTTCAGGAATGCCATTGTAGCCTAAACATAAAATTGAAGGGATGTTTTAAATTTATATTTCATACTAAAGTAGGGATATACCTTGTCTTGAATGAAACAAAGAACTAGGGATGATATGATAGTAGGGTTCCAATATCTAAGGGGTTGCCACAAAGAAGAGGGAGTCAATCTATTCTCCAAAACACCTGAAGGCAGGACAAGAAGCAACAGATGGAAACTAATCAAGGAGAAATCCAACCTAAAACTAAGGAGAAATTTCCTGACTGTTGGAAAAATTAATCAGTGGAATGACTTCCCTCCAGAACTTGTGGGTACTCTAACACTGGAGGTTTTTAAGAAGAGATTGGACAACCATTTGTCTAAAATGTTATAGGGTTTCCTGCCTGAGCAGGGGGTTGGACTAGAAGACCTCTCCAAGGCCACTTTCAGCTCTGTTACTCTGAATTTCTTTCTGCATTATTCGGTTGTTATCTGTTTAATTTTCTGTGAAATAATAGTATCACATTTTTTTTAGGATTCTCCCCTATTAGATAGCAAGAAGGATGTTTGAAAATATCAAATCTTGGGCTGAATATATTGTAGAATGGGCTGCAAAAGATCCATATGGATTCCTTACAACAGTGATCCTTGCTCTAACACCTCTATTCTTGGCAAGTGCAGTGCTATCATGGAAACTGGCAAAAATGATTGAAGCTAAGGAACGGGAACAAAAAAAGAAACAAAAACGCCAAGAAAATATTATAAAAGCTAAACGAATAAAGAAGGACTAAGAATTCAATTTCACTGGGCCAATTTTTTCTGGCAATGCACTGTTACTATATATGTACCTTTTTTTGTTATTGTATCCTTACAGAAATGGGACATGGCAGATTTTTTTCCTGGAATAATGTATGCTTAATTTGTGCTATTAAACTCTGTGGTCATGAACTTTAATTGCTTTTTTAAGAAATCTGATTTTTTTTCTAACCTGGGATATAAGCAAAATGTAAGTTTATAATGTATAACATAACTATATAGATATGAATTATTATTTTCATTAAAATCTGTCTTATGATTTTATACTACAGAAAATAATTGTTTAATAATTTGCATATAATTTTGTTGTATTGTAAAATTTTCCTACATTATGAAGAATCCTGATTTCATACTGAAAACCAGTATTTTCACTATTCCTTAGCATAATGGTTTGTAAGAATCAGATTGTCTCAATTATACAATCCATGATAGCTTAAAATTATCATTCGAGAGATTATCCTTGTTAAATGTAAATGACAGCAACCTTATTTACAAAGTATTTGGAAAAAAGAACATAAAATATGATTACTGGAATAGTCTGTGCATAAGCCATAGCTGTTGGATAATACTTTCTCATTTGTGTTACATTATATTTTTGATGGCTACACTCTGAGGACAAAGCAATAGTGAATGTGTCCAGTTGAATGTAAGCAATCACTAAGTCTTGTAACAACCAGAATGAATAGTTACAAATGCTCTCACATGTTTATTAGTTAAGCTAAAGCAGACTGAAGGCAAATTTTAGGGACTCTTGGCCAATTCAGGCCAAATGGCAAGCATCATTCTCCCTGTAGCAAGCCCTTTCAGCTGCTTTCACAAAGTTGCTATAGAAGCTTCTTATTCTAAATTATGGCTCCCTATAAAGTCAGTACCTTGCCTGTGAAGGCAAAGATTCATGCCTGGTGGGCAAACGATTAGCAATTCCTTTTATATATTTCTAGTCAAGCCTTCCCTTGTTTCAGTTCTTTAAAAACCAAGGCTTCTTAAGATCATCTTTGAAAATCTTGTAACATTTTGAAGCCTATTTTTTTAGATCCAGTTACTTATAAATATAACAGAGGTATCTTATTTATGACATTGGTTTGGTGAAATTATGATTACTAAACCAACATTGGTTTACTGATCTAAGAATAAAGTTAGGGATTATGTAGGATAGGAAACTAATAAATGCATCTCCTGATGCAAAGGATGCCAAGCACAAGTATGCATTTTAAACAAAATGTATAGGACATTTAAATATGCTCATGATTACACATTGCTATTGACTTGTTAAGCTATGAAACGTTAAATTTCTACTTTAAATAAATAATGTTAAAATTAGCTTTGTAACTTGCACAAGTCCTGACATTTATTTACAGTGGGAAATTTTTAACTGTAGTGTATCCCTTTCTAAATAATTTATTGTGTTTAGTGACATTTAGAACCTTGTCAAAATCTTATTAGACATAATTAGCGAATAAATAACTATAGCATTGCTTACTTTTCATAAATAACATTTTGGATCCACTTCCATAAACAAATCATTTTTTAATATGTTAGGAGAAGCTGTGAACTTATGTGAATGACTAAATTTCAACATTAAGCAGTTTGGAATATGAGAAGTTATAATAGTTTAACAGATTTAAAGAGAATATCTGTATGTATAGCATACATTGGATATGCCATACGCTCTTTTAACATTAATTAACAGCTAGAATATATATAGTCATGTAGTAATCTGTAATGATTACAGCAGCAGTAAATTTTATTGAAGTATAACTTCACTGAAAACATCAAATGATTTAAGAGGCAAAAGAATTAGAGATGGGACATTTTATAAAAAGCAATTAAACATTTCTACAAGAAACAACAGAATCTAAGCATTTTGAAAATGCTGCTAAGCTTTTAAATATAATATAGAATTTTAAAAAGTGTGTTCATTCATGCTGCTCATTAACCAAATGATGTCTCTTTCCTGCTGCTTTTCACGGGGACTTTTATTTTTCACGGTTAGGAGGCATCCAGGCTCCAGGCTGAAATGTATTTGCTGTACTAACAGGATCTTCTGAGTGTTCAGGCTTTCTGTAGTTGGAAGCAGATGCATGTCCTTTAATCTGTGTTTGAAGTGGTCCGACCTCAAGACCCTCTTCACGATCTTTGGCCTGTAGGAGTCTGCTTTTTTCACCCAAATCTTCAACTTTAGCTTTCATTTCTTTTCTGTAGTTGTTATTCTGGATACATTCCTGAAAAAAAATGTAACACATTGAGCTGACTGAATGAAACAGTGAATGCTAAGGAGATGCGCCTTGAGTGGGTAGGTTGTGTTGCTTTCATTTTTCCAACAGAAGAGCTTACCTCAATCAACAAGTAGCACTTGAAGAGACCAGGAAAGGCAGCCCCAGTATAGGCAACTTCATCCAGATTCAACTCATTGGAGTATAGGATGCTAATTTTCACTTTTCTGGGCACCCCCTACCATGAATTGCTGAGATCCCTCTAGAAGAGCATGGCAGACTTGCCTCCAAATTTCATTCCCATTCCCATTCCACTGATGAGCTAGTGCAGTGGTTCTCAACCTGTGGGTCGGGACCCCATTTGGTCGGGACCCCATTTGGGGTCAATTGACCATTTCATGGGGGTCGCCAAGCAAGGCTGTCCGCCATTTTTTTTGTCCATTTTTTTCCCCCTTTTCCGGCGGGTGCCTTACCTCCCTTGGGCTGGGCCAGCTGGTGGTCGGCCTGCTCCATCTCTGCTGCTTGCCAGCTACGCCTCGGCCGGCGCAGGGGGCAGAACCACGCATGCGCGGCGCTCCCGGGCAGGGAAAGTCCTCGACTTACGACCGGTTTAGTCCTCGACTTACGACCGGTTTAGTCCTCAACTTACCACCGGTTGGGGTTGCGGCATTAAAAAGGTTGAGAACCACTGAGCTAGTGGATCAAAACCTTTCTATCAGTAGATACCAATTAAGAATAAACCATATACATACATTTTTAATGAAAATTTTAAACACCAGAATGGGACTACTAAAATACTGTAGAGTCAAAAGAATAAAGAAAAAGCTAAAGATGCAAAAGAATACTTAGCAGAAAAATAGAAAAGAAAGTGATACAAGGAAGTGGCTTCTGATCTTCTCTACAGCAGCAACTACAATTTTACACTGACCTCTCTAAAGTTATATCGTAACTCTCTTCATGATCTATCCTAGCTAATCATCAAACCAAAAATCACAAGTTCGTTTATTCTCTTTTAGACAAAAAGTCCATAAAGAGTTTCTAATCAATAAACAGATAGCAATTCAGAGGATTTTAAACATTTAATGAAACCGTGAAGGAACTTGTCTGATTTAATTATGAAGATTAATTTGAAGTAATAGCTACATTTTCTATTTTTCAGAAATACAGATTTAAAATTTGCTTGTTTCATCATCCCAACAGTCCCAGTAAACTTGTCTTAATTACGGCTTGGAAAATATCTCAACCTGTGCTGGAGCTTGATTTCAGTTTGGCACCCTTCCATCTAAATCTAGGGCTGGATTCATAAATTATACTAAGTTATAGCATAACATGTTTATTTTTAGGTTAGCACAACATACAGACCCAATCACTGGCTGTTTATGAGCCATGGTTTATAGCTAGCACCATGTGAGAAGCAGCTTACACACTTCGTTCAATCAACTGTTTAGAATGCATGCTTCAGTATGATGAGTTACCTCATATGATTTTGAATGCAGACTTAAACATCTCTTCCCCCAGCTTTTTTGTTGTTGTTGTGAACTTCCTCCTTCCTTCTCAAGAACTGAAAAGTGCACTCATTTGTAATCCTGAATTGGCTTAATAAAATACTTTGTCCTAATACAGTTCTCAGAATTTTGCTATGGGTAACTTAAGATTCCTTTACTTTTTGTTTTAAATGTGTGTCCAAGATCATCAAATCCTGCATGCTAAAGGCTGTCAATCACCATAATTTCTCTTAGAGGCATGCAGCACATTATTATTTTTTGGGGTCACTATTCTTCCAAGAGAGCATTCAAGGTGGCCTATGAAGGATTCGTAAGTATCCAGGCCCTTAACAAAATCAGCAAAGTATCCTATATCCCCTGTCTTCAAGTTACATTATTCTAATACATGCGCTATGAAGTGTCTATGTGGCAATATAAGTAATTACTAAAAATGCTGAAATACTTTTTCAAAACAAGGACTTAAAATATTGACTGCCCATCATTTAAATTTATTACCATGCATTTCTTTAAAATGAAAATAATAGAAAAAGAATAAAGAGCAAATGTATCAAATGATTTTACAAAGGCATGCAACAAGATATAATTCATTAAACATGTATAATCAAAGGAGTAGTTGCCAAATCCAAACTCAGAAGGAAACCAAATTCCCATATCAAAATGAAACTGAGATTGGACAATAAATGAACTTCTATAATCACAATGTAATAAACCTATTGGGTCTCTAATGCTAGCTGAAAATAATTCAACTGATTTCAATTAACTTTCTAATTTTTCTACCATTCAAAGGTCAGACCCACAAGGAGTACATACAAATTGAACAAAGGCTCCTCCTCTCTAACATTTGGCCTTCAAGGGAAAGATGACACTGACCAGATATTCCAGAGGAGTAGCACAATAGCATAGCATGAGATTCTATTGCATTTCATCTGTACAGCTTATATAATTATTTCCTATTCCTTTTCATGGTAAGGGTGGAAAATGCTGCAAGGTGGATTATTGGGAAAATTAGCTTGTAACGGCTGCTGTTCCCCTAGCAAATAATCTTACCTAATTTATTGGTTCTGAGAGAGCATAATCACAGTATAGGACCAAATCCACATATCACACTTGGTAGCAGTATGGAGGCGATTAGCCATTGTCACTGCCTTCTTTCAAAATATTATTAACTTGCTCATCTAGCCTACAGCCATGCCTTTTGGTCATCCGTCCAAGTCCTAATCAGGTCCAACTCTTCTTAGTTTTTTTCCAGATTTAGCAAAGTTGATTAAGTGTTGCTATCTGCTGCAGAAATTACTTTTACAGAAAAATTTATACCTCATAAGATGAGGCAGTTTCCTGACAAAACATCTGTCACTACCTAGGACTGAACTCTCAGCCAGTGTTACTGTCATAGCTTAGGAGTCACTTTCATGTGGAGCTTGACTGGAGAAATCCCACTTCCCCTAACCCATGGTTCCCAATCAACATGGGAGGCAGCCATTCCAAGCTATTCCACACTGCATTTCCCCCTTGGTGAAATCCTATTAAAAGTGGGAGTCACATTTGAGTATTGCTTCTGTACAGAACACATCCATGTGTGCATATACATTCTCCAATTTCTCTAAGCCAGTGTTTCTCAACCTTGACAATTTTAAAGCATGTGGACTTCAATTCCCAGAATTCCATAGCCAGCAATGCTGGCTATGGAATTCTGGGAGTTGAAGTCCACATGCCTTAAAATTGTCAAGGTTGAGAAACACTGCTCTAAGCATAATTGCCTACAAACGGCCAAGCTTAGTTCATTCTGAGATAAAATATTTTATAAATACCTTCAAAAGTTCATACTGCATGACTTCAAAGACCATTTTAAACTGCCTAGGTTATAGTTAAGTGTAGTGGAAGCTACATTAACATTTGTTCATTGTATGAAAGCTGACAACTACTTTTTAATATAACTGGACTACTGTAATAACAAGTGGTATGGTGGCATAGTGATGAAGACGATTATCTCCCACTTGAAGGCTGAGAGTTCAATCCTAGAAGTGACAACATATTTTTCTCCTATGGCACAAAGAAAAAAAATATCTGCTGTGAACTCCACATAGGTGTCAAGAAGGGCATCCGGACAGTTGCCTTGACCAAATAAGGCACAAGAAAAATTACAATCATCTGGGTAGTTTTGATTAAAATAATGATGGTGGGAGAATGCTAAAGACATACGAAATTATGTGCCCCATTGGCTATATGAATAAAAGTTTATTCTTATCTTTACAAGCAAGGACTAAACCACTGAAGACTCAAGATGGATGAAGTAATTCGTCACATCAAGCATTTTGAGTATAATGGATGTTAGTGACCAACTTAGCCAGTTTTAAAGGATGATGCTGTATGAAAAATTCGTATGAGATAAGATTATTTTCATCTCATCAGGTATATATTACACTTAATATCAAAAGCCATATAGCTCTGAATGGTGATTGCTGAACAATGTTACTGCCTTCCCCATCATACTCTAAGCCTCCAAAAGCAACTAATCAACAACTTGGGGAAAAAAGCATTTGGCTTGTGTCTTGCAGAGCTTGTATATTCTTAAGTGATAATGCATTAGAAAGACATTTTAATATGCCCACACAAAAACATTTGTACAGCAAAAATTGCTACCATATCCAATACCAGGTAAAAAGACTTAAGAGACAAAAGGTCTTATCCAGACTTAATTTCAAAGATAAAAGGCATTAAACACTCAACATAGCTTATTTGTACCAAGAAAAATCTCTGACCTAGTCTTCTAAAATTCTTCCCCAAATAGCAAAAAGAAAACCTCCATAGATCAGAGGCATTAAAAAGTGCGCTGACAATAATTGCATCACCAATAGAAACACTTAAAAGTGACTGTAGCAACAAAAAATGAGGATAAGCGAACAAGGCCAAATAAGGTAATTAACAAAATGTTAAACCAATGAGTAAATAGATCAAGAGCTCCAGCAAATTAAAAAAAGGGAAACATAAAAGCCCCTTACAATCTAATGCAGGGGTGTCAAACTCACAACGTCACATGACATGTCGTGACATATCATGACTTTTTTTCCATTGCCGGCAAAGGGGTGCGCGCAGTTTCACCATGATGCATCCGGCCTGCAGGCCGGCAGTTTCACACCCCTGATCTAATGTGTGTGTGGTGGTTGTAGGGGAAATACTTTAGTCTGATTTATTGGGTAACTGGTTAACAGAAAGGATTATTGGAGCTGCAAGATGATGTTAGAGGATTTTAGAGTGTGAACAAGTATGGGAGAAAGAGAGAGGAAGAGGAAGGAGAAGGGGATGAAGATTCACAAAATGAATAATTCTCAGTGTCATACTACCCATTTACAACGATCCCCTGGCATACTAAAGGATGAAAAATAAAACAATGCTAATTTTACCAGATATCTTCCACGTTTGACGATGTATCTGATATGGGTAGAGAAATGATCTCAGATGGATATTACCGATAGTCATTGCTGAATAACTATTTGTTCAGTGACTGCTCAAAGTTACAGTGGCATTGAAGGAATTGTAGTTATACCCGGTCCACAAAGTTATGGCCACCAGTGTCCCTGAAGTCACATGATCAAATTCCAGGTGGTTGGCAACCTGCTCATACTTATGACCATTAGGGTGATTAAACTCTCTCCACCCATTTTTCCCCTAGCTCTGTCCTTTTAGCTACCCTGCATTCCACTTTTGCCACCCTGTACCCCACTGGCCTGGCCACCCCCAGTGAGCCTTCGCTGTCTTCTTCGTCCCACTGCTGACAAGACACACCTGGCATGGTCCTTTGCAAGACAGCTGCTAGCTGTGCCAGGCCTTCTTCCCAAGGCAGCACATGCCTTTATCCAAATGACTCTTGTGAGGCTTTCAAACGGGATAAAATTAGTAAGAAAATATAGAATACATTTTTCTACAGTAGAATTTGAATAAAATGCTTCCTATAGAGAATTCTACCAGAATAAAATCCCGAAGTGTTGTATAACCACAGCTTCCTTGTCTGTCTGTCTGTCTATCATCTATCTGTCTGTCTGTCTGTCTGTCTGTCTGTCTGTCTGTCTGTCTGTCTGTCTGTCTGTCTGTCTATCTATCTATCTAATCAATCTATCACCCATCTTACCACAGAATAAATCTGGGCAGCTTAGCTTTTTAGCTAGAGAGGTAGAGATACTCAGGAAGCAATAATTAATATTTAGTAAATGCTTGCATTTCTGTTTTTGTAAACTATTGTTCTAGAACTATCATCAGATAATTATCTCAGTAATGAATATTAATGTTAAAGCCAGGTTCTCTCATCATGCTATACTATAGTATTAGATTATATACCGTTGGACAGCTTATTGCTTAACATGTGGAAATTCAGACAATTATTAATAAATAGTCAATAGTTAAGCAAACCATAGCTTAGTACCATTTCAAATGGTTCAGAAAGATAACAAGTCTTTAGTTTTAACAAGAAGCATAAATTATATGCTTTAGGCACTACCTTACAAAGGCACAATTTCATGCATCTAACACTCTAATAGGTGATTCACTGGAACTGAGAAAATATGCCTGCTGTTTTAATTATAGAGAAATTAATAAAAGGCTTTTAATTGACTAATCTAGTCAATTAATCTACAAAATGTTGCAGACTACATTTAAAAAACAGAATATATAAACAGGCAAGGCATAAATAAAGTATGCATTAAAGTGTCACTGAAAATATAATTCTTTAACCATCCAGCAGTTGGATGATAGGAACTTAGAATTCAATGAAAATGAATCACCATGATTAAAGTTAGTTTCTCTCATGTTATTTCTGAAATAATATTCTTACAATCAAATAAGGAAGATGAGCATACACTATGATAACTAAACATAATGTAATTTTCAATTTAATTATTCTCTTCTAGGGATGATGATGGGGAGATAATAATTGAAATTTTATGCTTATTACTACTCAGTAAAGTACATTTTCCTTCCTTGACAAGAAGGCTGTCAAAACAAATAATTATGGAAATGCTCGAAATAGTTTGAAAGAAGACAGGAGCTGTCATAAAAAGTTTCTTCTTTTTCGCATTTCACCTTGTATCCAACTGTGTTATTCAAAATCCACTTAGTTTTTATTATTGCGTAGCAAACAAATAGCACATTAGAAATGAAAAGTACCTTCTATTTTCAACCATTTTTAGACCTCCCACACCAGCTAAGAAACATATTAATGAATTCAATTGCATATTAAATTCTATCTCCTCAGGATATTTTCATCTGCCTTTTGGAATTGTTTATTATTAGCATTAGACGGAGCTCATTTGGTCAATTCTTTCTGATCTTTGGACTTTGATTGAAAAAAAAAGATACAAAGAATAAGCTATGTGTTGTCCTAAAGTTAATGGCTCATAAAAAGATATTTTGTAATAGCCAGCCCAAATCTGGCAAAAGCCTCAATGTGTTGGACAACTCTTCCTACCTCTCCTAGCTGTTACAGTCATTGCCTACAACAGTGGTTCTCAACCTTTTTAATGCCGCGACCCCCCAACCGGTCGTAAGTCGAGGACTAAACCGGTCGTAAGTCGCGGACTAAACCCCAGCATTCAGCTCCTGATCCCAACCGGTCGTAAGTCGAGGACTTTCCCTGCCCGGGAGCGCCGCGCATGCGTGGTTCCGCCCCCTGCGCCGGCCGAGGCGTAGCTGGCAAGCGGCAGAGATGGAGCAGGCCGACCACCAGCTGGCCCAGCTCAAGGGAGGTAAGGCACCCGCCGGAAAAGGGGAAAAAATGGCGGACAGCCTTGCTTGGCGACCCCCGTGAAATGGTCGATCGACCCCAAATGGGGTCATGACCCATAGGTTGAGAACCGTTGGCCTACAACATGCAGGCAACTATAAAGAGTCATGGTAGAGGAAGGTATTTTATGCAAAAGCACAGAAGAAAATTAAAACTGAACACCTCTAATATGATTTCTTTGAATCGTACTGAAATAGAATTACTGCTGCTTGCACAAACTTTTCTTTTTCTTACAATTTTCCCTTCTTTATTTTAATTCTTCTGTTTTTTTCCTCTGGGTTTTCTTGATTTAATAGCATTATTATTTTTAATATGGCAGGTCCCGAGAGAGACAGTATTGGGGAAAACTCTCCAAATGTCACTACCAGAGCTTACCTCAATTCAACAAACTAAGTGTCACAATTACATTAAGCCAGGCATGTCAAACTGCCGGCCCACGGACCAGATGCATCATGCCGAAACCGTGCCCACCCCATTGCCGGCAATGGGGAAAAAGTTGTGATACGTCACAGGACGTCATGAGACGTCGCGAGTTTGACATGCTTGCATTAAGCTATATTCAATCATCTTGTCTGCTTGCTTATTTTTGGCTTAGCGTAATGTATGAACACTCATTCATTCATTCTTTCATTCTGACTGTATTCTGCTAAGTCAACAGACTCATCACATTTTACAGCAATCCAATAAAAAGCATACAGCCAATTAAAACATCCACAGTAAGCATCACTTAAAATCAAATTTGAAACAAGTACAGAATAACAACAATAGAAAAAATCAAAGTATAAGATAAATAAGTAAAACGGTTAAATTTAAAATTCAAACATGTAGACAATCAAGTAGTCACATGTTTACAGAAATGTACCATCTCAAGTAGCTTCTGAAACTTGAGTTTTAATTGCAAGGAAAAGCTATTCTCTATTCCTGGTGGAGCAACCAACAAATAGCATCTCCTGGTCTCGATTTTCTCTTTCCTTGCAAAAGTAGTAAACAGTATAACCGGAAGCTTCCAAGAACCTACCAGAAGGGCTGTTTCTAGTAGGTGAAGACAATCCTGCAGATACCTTAGAAACAAGCTGTATGGGGCTTTATAGACAAGCATTTTGAATTATAACTGGAAAGCAACGCAGGGCTCAAAACACAGTTGTAAAAATCTCTTGGCAGGTAATACCCACCAACAATTTATACCAACTGCAGTTTCCAATAGTCTTCAGAGGCATTCCATGACTGACTGCATTGCAGCAGTATCAAGAAATGATTACGACATAAGTTACTGTTAGTATAATGTACAAGGAAAGCCACTATAGCTCGCTAGTAAGTAACTGTAATTTCATACAGCCAAGTATTTTAAAATATGTTGATGATGAAGGCTCCAGCATATTTAAAGAATGCAAGATTTGGGAAGTATGCTGTAATGGATCCAGAACTCATCCATTAGAAGGGAGATTGTAATGTATTTTGATCATCCTTTCCCATTCAAAACCTTTGCAACTTTTACAGGGTTTTATTTACTTATTGTTTCTTAGCCTGGTTACTTGGTGCAGATATAGAACTGCAAAGATAAGAGCAGAAGAAAGCATGAAAAAAGCAAGCTCTTTTTGTCAATAGTTTATACAGTGATGTTTTCAGGAAAATAGTAAAATATTGGCAAGATTTGGGAATGAATCTTTGGGGGCAATAAGTGAGACAATAGAATAAAGGCTCAATAAAATACAGTTAACTGACATTTCAAATTCTTTGCACACCTCCCAAAAAAGCGGGAAGTGGGGAAGGATAATTTGTCATTTGCCTCAACGAAAGATGTGGGCAGGGAGATTTGCTATAGAACAATTTCAATAAGAAATATGGTCAAAAGCACCCCTCCCTTCAATAGCTGTCAAAGAGCATTTACTGTATCAGCAGGTGTTGTCAGAGGCTGTCTAATACAGAAACCAAATCAATCTATCTGGCAGCCATTTTAGAAAAAAATGTCTTAATAATAATATCAAGATACAAATGACCTGCCACACAGATTTACACATGCCTTAGAGAAGGAGGCAGGGAAAGGAATAGGTAATTTCTTTGGAGTAGGTCCACTATTCAGATTTTAAGATCACTTATGCTTCAAGTTCAGCAGCAACAACAACAGCAACACACACACACACACAAACACACACTTCCTATATATTCCAGCACCACTTTTCTCCAAGTCTTTTGGGACAAAAGTATCTGGCAAAGAAGTAGCAGTGTTACCATTAACTGTAAGATGGAAAGAATGTCACTTAGGTATTCCAGCCATTTCTAGCTTTAAGGGACTTGAAGAAGAACTTGGGAAAATTCAGCAAAAAAAACCAACAACCCAGAATTACAGGCAATAATATATGTGTCATGTGTCTGATTAACGAAACACTTTGGGGGCCCTCAAGAGACAGACATAGGTAGAGAAGCCAGAGAAATATCTTTATTGTTCCAATTAAAATTGAACAACCACACTGGGATGATAGCAATGGACAAAAGCCTGAGTGAAAAGGCTGGAAGTTTAGCCTGGGACATAATAAAAATAGAGTTTAAACAATTTACACAGTATGTAATAACACATCTTACCTCAAGTGTGGGTGGATTGTTTCTTCTTTTCTTCATCCATGCTAAGAAAATTAAAAACAAAAAATATCAAATATTTCGCATTCTTATATTTATTCTGATAACTATATCAGCAATATTTTATGAATTTATAAGCTGCCTTTCCAAATAACTTTTTAAAAAGTTATTTAAGTTAAGTTATTTTTAACTTTTCTAAGTAGTCCTTGACTTACGGTCACAATTAGGACCAGAATTTCCATTGCTAAGCAAGGTGGTTGTTGAGTTGCGGCTGATTTTACAATCTCTTATGCCATGGTTGTTAAGTGAATCATTGCAATTATTAAGCAAATCATGTGATTGTTATGCAAATCCAGCTTCCTCCATTGACTTTGCTTGTTGGAAGCTGGCTGGAAAAGTTGCAAATTATTATTAAATTTGTTTGCTGCCCATCTCACCACAATCACATGACCTCAGAATGCAGCAACTTTGCTGGTTATCAAGTGCCTGAATTTTGATGCTGTGATGGTTGTAAGTGCAAGGACCAGGACCAGTCATAAATCATTTTGCCATTAGATCTTAAAATGGTCACTAAATAAATGGTTGTAAATTGAGAACTACCTATATAAAAAAATTATGAAAAGATTAACCAACAGTAACATCATTTCATTATCATCAGTAAATTTAGCACTAATTTTAAAACGGCCATAGAAGCAACATTATAAAATCCTAAATTAAAAAACAAACCATTTTAAACCCAGAATAAATCAGCCCTATTAGAAATATTCCATCAGAATATAACAAATGTTTTGTATTCTTATAGAACAAAACTCAAAATGTTTGGATTTTCTCCTCAATGGACCAATATGAGTTGGAAACAAGTGCTTGCTTACTCATTGTTTGCCTCAAAGTCTCTAAAATGTATATGGTGGTAGTAGTCCCTGATGACTACTACCCACCATCCATTTACATGTTTTAATTTAAATTTTAAAAAATGTGCAGACAAAGAGAAGCATGCTTATTTCTATTTAACTGTTTTAACATTTTTCATTACCAAAAACTAACGTTCAAATTTTGACCAACTTTACTGTAGGTTTGGTGATGAGCAGCACTCAGTATGAACTGTTTTATTTTTTGGATCTAGGACAATAAAAAAGAACCCTCAGTTTGTTTCAAGTTCCTCACTACTCTTTCTAACCAAAAAGTTAAGACAGAGTCTCTCAGGTTAACCATTCAATTTCCCCACCCCTTGTAGCAGTCTTTAAATCTGGAGCAATCTAAATCCTTTTTTTTTTTTTTGACCTCTCAGAGTGAAAGGCATTTTATAGCCATTGTTTCTTCTTTATAAGATTAACAGATAAACAGCCTAGATATCTCATTAGAAAGCTAAGGCATCCTGACATGAGATAAGGAAGGATATTAATATACATAGTATGTAAAAGAGGTTAAGTCTGTGATTGAGTCATAACAGTAAAAAATATCTTTGGATCTGTTTTATTAACTTTCTGGTGTTAAAGTACAATAGATTGCTACACTGAGCCTGCCTCTTTTACTCAAGACAACAGAACTGGGCCCTAGTGGAATGAATTAACTTGATCTTTTCATTTCAGGGTTATTCTGGAAAATAGCTTCAACTTTTAGTTAAACAAGCAGACATATATTCTTTGCTTTCCTAAGATTATGGTAAAAACTGATGTAGATGAATTTGCTTATCAGATCATAGTTATAAGTAATGTTATAGCAAAACTAGTATTGGACCTCTACACAGTTGGCTATTTCTTTTTGTTGATCTTACATTTCCAAACATTTAATTATTCCTGTCACCACCTCCTGACTATGCTTTGCTTTATTTTTTACAGTCTTAAAAATGTAGTTAAATAAG